TGGTTGGTGTTGAGGGACACCCACCAACCCCCATCATGAAAGTCCCAACAGCTAGAGGTAAAATGCCAAGCACATAGTGTCTATATGACAGGAAAGCTGGATGGCCAAAAGTGCCACTTTGTCATAGATTCTGCGTCTCAGCAAACCCCTGTATCAAGTTGCTGGATCCCAAAGGAGTACCAGAAGCCATACAGAAGCGTTGTGGTGTGGCAGGACATTATGCAAGGTTGTGGGTAACTATTGAGCTCATGGTGATTTATAACGTGTGTTATAAAGGATGTTAAATTTAAAGTGACGGTGGAAATTCTATGTATTACAAAGTTATATCTAGAAAGATTAAACTAGTTTTAATTAAGAAAGGACTTGTATCACTGAAGTTCCTCTGAAAGAATTTATAGCGGAAATTAACAAACGAGCAGATACGTAACAATATATATATTAATGTATCACGCATATCTAAAGTTTACAGGCTTTTTAATACCAGTAATAAACGACCTTATAACACCAAATTGTTGTTTTAATTTAATTAGACACTCAAAGTTTCGCTTTACAGCTTCTTCGGAAGCGTTCCCCAAAACACAAACCGAAACTGACAGAACCAAGCTTCAAGGTCGTCTTTACTAGTACTAAAATGGCTTCTATACACCAACAGCCCCCACCACCTTAGTGGCACAGTGGTATGTCTGTGGACTTATACCGCTATAAACCGGGTTTCGATACCCGTGGTGGGCAGAGCACAGATAACCCATTGTGTAGCTTTGTGCATAACTAACTACAAACAAACTATACACTAATATGCACTACAGAAATTAAATAATAAGTTTACAGACTTGTATAATCATGCTTTTAGGAAAGTTTTTTTTTTCTAATATAGTCAGTTTTATATTAAAATGTTCTGGAAAGGGTTAAAGTGTAATGTTTGGAAAGTTTTATTTTGCTTTTGGTGTCACTCCAGTGCGTTATTCTTATTCTATTTTTATTATTGTGTTTGGTTTCACTATTATTATTGCGATATACTACAGTTTGATTTCAAATTATAATTTGATTCTGTTTATTTGATGATTCCTTTACTTGTTTATTATTCCCATGGTCACAATTCAAATATTATACCATTCTTTGTATGTATCCCTTTTTTTCTGTGTAATTTTGAAGACTTATGACGTTAAAATCCGGGGTTCGATTACCCGCAGTGGATACAGCACATATTGTGTGCCTATTAAAACAGCAACAACCTTTTTCCTGTACCGTTTCCAATTCAGGTTTATTTTAAATTATTGCAGTTTTATGTTATATTTTTTAAAGGGTTAATATTTTATTACACGTTCTGCAACGTGTTTGTTTTTTTATTTATTCTAAATAATGGCTTGTTTGTTTTTTTATTTCAGATACTCACAAAAGCTACAATAGAAATATTTGCATTAGCCTCTGAACTGATAGACTAGAATGTGCGTTTTCTCACAGCAAAGCCACATCAGGCTATCTGTTGTGTCCCCGAGGGGAACTGAACCCCTGATTTTAGCATTGTAAATCTGAAGACTTACCGTTGTCCCACCGCGGAACGATAGACTAGAAGGAAGACAGCTATAAAATCTACATTCATTACCAATTCTTAGGGCTACTCTAACCAAATAGTGGACTTTTACCATCATCCGTATAATACACCAATTGTCCTAGTGTTGAGCGTAATTTCTCAGTAATGGAACACGAACCATGGGTTGTCAGATCCATTGTCTGGTACGTAAGTAAAGGACTAATGGCCCCGTATATGTGTTCCATCTGTGTATTATATTTTAATGGTTTATTCTGTAATCTTGATTTGTTATATGCTTAGCTATCAATGTGTGGTAGAGAAGGGACATTTGTCATGCACGTGGTTCTTGTCTACGGGTAAATTTTCATACCATATTTTGCATCCTACACGATTGGATGATGACTGTGTCATATTCAGGTAAAACTGATTATTCCAAGAGCAATGGGATAGGTCCCCTTAATAACATGAAGTCCGACAAGATATTTGTTACCGAGTAATACAGTGTTTCTCTAATTCGCGAAGAAAGAAAGATAGAACAATGTAAAATACAAAATCACAATCTTTGCTACGTCAGAAAACACAAGCAAAGTATGCGTGTACTTACTCTGAACGACGGACTGTCATTTGTACTTAATTGAAACTATTCTTTCAAAATTGATAAGGCCGAGATAATCTACTGTTTAAATTCAATGTTCCATAATTCACAGGTAACGTCAGATTTACTAGGAGCTAAACACTTAACTAGTGATTCCCATTCAACCATAGGGATATCTAACTTCAGGAGATCACTTGACCTAACATTGAACGACACTGCTATCTAAATTCTTGCACGTTATTTGTATAATAAGTGTACTCCTCAATAGAATGACAAAGGCAGCTAGAACAAAATAATTAGTGTTATGTGAAAACTGCACCCATTCAGAAACAAGTGATAAATTTAGAAAATGCTATATTAATACAATTAGTGAAAAAACGCCTGGTATGTTTATATTCCACGTGTCAATGTGCAGTCTAACCGAATGTTGTAATTTCACCATATCACATTGTAACTTTTTAATTTGAGTTAAAGTTAACTTGAGGGCAAGTGAGAAGAGTATAAGTATTTAACACCTCAGTCTTCCAAGTTAAATATTTCATATCCATAAAATATTTGAATTTTTATCGTAAATCTGTGTGAGGTCATGTGCTAAACTCAATATGATGTGTAAATTTTACTATACTTTCCCAGCCAAGGAATCTGTATATTATTTAAAGGATAACTGAATGATACTCTATTTCACCTTGTGTATAGAGAACTACTTTGCAACATGGAGCAAAGATATTTCTACATTCTAGTGTGTTTTCGGATTGGTGAGCTAGAGACAGAATTTGTATTGTCAAAAGCAGTTTTGACGTTTCCACACTTAACTTTTTGAAACTTTTGAGGAAAGATGCTAGTGAAGTATCGTTTGTGTTATTCTCGCCATTGCTGTTGAGATTGTTTTTCAACCTAATCTTTAGTCATTTCACTTTATCTATAGATTATCAAATAGAGGTATACTTTACTTGTTATTCTTATTTAAATAAAGTTTAGTTCTTTCATTCCAATAGTTCATCCACCAGACAGTCAGCTCATCCCATTCATTTTAATCCAAGTAAATACAGACAGTCAGCTCATCCCATTTATTTTCATCCAAGAAAAATATACTATCCATCAATACTGTGTGTAAAATCAAGAAAGAACTACATCTGAAACTATTTTTTACACCTAGTAAAAGTGTATTTTGATGAATTAAAAAGTTATAACATGTAGTTATGTTTATGTAGTTTTTGTTCAAATGCTGAAACATATATATGGAAAGCTACATCTTTCAAATTTGTAAATGATTTTTGTTAACGTGTTTCAAATTTGTTACAAGCTATTTGGTAGGGCTGCACTGTTTTGAAAGGTTAACAGATGTGTGTACTACAGACAGTCATAACATCTTCAGCCTACATGTACAGCAGATTGCTGAGGGTGATGAAGAGGACAGACATTGTGAACATCATGTTGATATGGGTGACTCTACTGACTGATTTGTGATCAGTCTTAAGAACATTAGTCTATGGACAAATTTTTGTAGGCCTATTATTTTTAGGAATTTGTTGCACCCCAGACCAAACAATGGTTTCTTGGTATGAAAGTTTGTAGCTTCCTGAATAAGCATTTTTCCATGTTCAAATATTTAATATGTTGGGGGAGAAAAAGATCCAAAGTGTACTCCATCATACCAGTAGCAAACCATAAATGTTAGATTTATGTGGTAATGACAGGGTTACTTTATTAAATGCTCTTAAACTAGTGATTTATTAAAAACTCAATTTATATTCTTTTTTGTGTTATTTTAGATACTTCATTGTTTTATTTTTTCACTTTTATTTGATTTTAATTAATAATACAGAATCCAAGAAAAAAGTTGAAAAGTAGAGCATTATTTACAACAATGGAAATATGTTACAGTTTTCCTGATAATACTTCCACTTAACTAGCACACGCCTTCCACAAGTAGATTTCATGTAACAGTGGAAATGCTAGTTGTGTAGAAAGAACCTCATGGATGTGATTCCTATAAGGTTACTCATCAAATCTGAATAGGAGCAAATTATGGCATTAACTAATCTGTAAAATGATCCAAGTGTGTGAAGTTGCCTCACACCCAAATATGAGCCTTGTCATTGTCAGGTGTGTGCGATCTCAGCAGTTTTTGGTTGACCACAGACATTTACAAGAGCTCATGCATGACCTCTAACAGTCTTCCAATATGTACAATTGTATTAGAACTATATAGTATCCACTACTATAAACTGATCAATTGTGTTATGTATATTTACATATTGTATACTTTAATGCTAGAGAGTATTAGGCACATTAGTACTGGGAAGGTGAATGGATATATTTTGATCACAAGTATTTCCACATTTCTACTAACTGTGTTTACTATAGTAGAGCAAATAACACACAAATAATAGCATTGTTCATGAGTGAAATTCACTTGAGGCATTTCACAAAATTTCAACATCTTTGAAATAATACTGAATAAAATTGTGCAAATTTAAGGAAGCATTGTATTTATATATACACCAACAAGAGTACACCTTTAGATGACACTGAAACTAGATTTTGCTCACTTCACTCAAACAGTCCAGTATGGTATGATACTTTCCATTACTGTTTACATTTACCATAAATCAGAGTTACAACAATTTTTAGCAAGTTAGTTAGATTTTGGATGTTTCTAAAATACATCTAAAACTTTGTATTGTTATATTTATTATTGTCTGTAGGAAGTTCACGTGGTTGTGTTATGAACAGACACATCTTTAAAATATTAAAAAACAATACATGAGGGTACGCTTTTGTCACAGTTCACACTGATGAGGATAATAAAGGCATTATTTCAACCTATTTCCTTCTTTATATTAAAATTTAAAGTGAAAACAGATCATGATTCAGTAAACTAAGCTTTTATTTAATACCTATAAACCTTTGTTCAGTAGGAGTGCAACAAACATGATTTCCATCAATATCAGCTCAAGGACTACAAGGGACATACATGTTTCTTATGAACAAAAAGACATTAGAATTAAAAAGTTACCCAAGAGTTGCTACAAGAGCAATTTCACAAATGTACAACAGAAAACCACCAATTACTAATGTACTTGAAAAGAGAAAACTGTGTGCATTGCTTTTATTATAAGTTATTTGGCAGTGCCAGAAGAAACACTTTCCTATAGCAACTGTGACTAGAGAAATATTCCAATCTATTCTGTAAATTGTAACTTTACTTTCATCACCATTATGCCAGTATGATGTGTGTTTGTGTGTGAAAGGCAACTCTTCCACAAATCACATTACACTGCTAAATGACCGAGACAAACCTTATTTCTGTACCAACATTTTTCATGAGTTCATATAATGTAACTAAAAACAACGATTACATTTTAAAAGTTACTTAACATATAATGTTATATTTTATTACACTTTTTTACTAATTCAATTAACTGGTATTGCTAATAACAACAAGTTAACTCTTATACATATTAAACTTATTCTTTGAGTAAATTTTTATAAAGTTCCTATTATTCAGTTAAAATATATTTGAAAAAATATAATAAATATTGATTGTTACTGAATTTGGCAATTGGGTGGGCAGGTATATGAAACAGTTTCTTATTTCTCTTACTTTCTTTGATAATGCTGTAACTGTTCCAAAGTTCAAATTAACTGAGAAAGAAACATGCAAGATAAAGGAATGGGAAAGTATTCATGGTACAAATGTATTGTGTTTGTAACATATTTCAAATATTATTTTAAATAAAGTATTTATATGAACACAGCAAAATAAAGTATCCAGAAAAATATGGTATTTCATAAGCATAAGAAATTTTTCTTCATCATATGACTTTAGAGTAAAAATGTACAGTGTACAGTAAAAGCAGCTGACAAGAAGAGACCTACATAATTTAAAAATGCTATTAAGAGATAAACTATGTAAATATAATAAAAAAAGAAGGTATATTAGGAATGAAAAAGCAGTGGTTTTACTTCATGGACATGTAAAAATGATACAAGTAAATATTTAAAGGCAGTGATCACACAAGCAGAACACTGTAAGGGTGAACAGCTTTTATTATTAAAGGAAGCACTTAACCCTGTTGACTGTAGCTTAAAAATCAATTACACTTTCTAAAAAATGTTTTAATTCCTACTTCTTGTTCATATTTATACTTCTACATTAATTTGGTAAAATTAACATCTGCAGTATGAAATAATTACGAATCCTTTCACTATCACAAATGAATTGTGAAGAATTTATTCAAGTTTTTACCGCTGAGATACGAAATAAATACAAGTTAGAAAAGAATAAAAACGTCTTATCAGGGTTGTCTTTATTCACAATTAAAAGAAACAAGTGCAAGAAAAATCTCAAGTAGATGTTCCTTCTTCAGAGCAAGTAGGAATACTGCTGTCTGGAATTGGTCTGTACACTGTACATAGTTAAAAAAACGTTTCTACCTGTTATCAATGAACATGCTGACTCTGTTCATCACTTGAAGCAGCAGCTGAGTATGTAAACCTGCAGTATTATGTTCATTTTGGGCTACTGAACACTACAAATTTCTGTACAAGATGAATTAAATTTCATGGAGGTTTAGAGCAATCAGTCAAATCAGAAAAACTACTAGGTTAATTATCTACACAATAACACACATCCATGTTTTTTTTGTTTTTTTTTTCAGTTTTCTACAGACTTGGGTCCCATGTCGTGCAGGAACTATTAACACAAAAAGACAGACAGACATCTATATGATATTTTCTACAAAATTCCTAAAAATTCCCAGACAAACACTGGTCTATACAAGTTGTGCAGAAACTTAAAATACTTTATAATCGGGATTAAATGATATATTTTCATAAAAATCAACCACTGCAAGACTTTTGTAAAAAAAAATAATTAAAAAACACAAACTTGTCTTGTAACTGTCAGAACATAAATTATTTTCGAAATATTAAAAAGTAGCCTTATTTCCAAGTTAGAAAAGAGTATAAAATGTTAAAACTATTAAATATATCATATTTTCGCATAAACTAAGCTCATTTAATGAGGGTATAAATTAAATAAGGTAATTCTGGCAGCCCAGATATCAGATGCATCATGCAATATACATAATTCCATTTTAAATAAGTGTCCTTTGTCTTTTCTTGTTTCAGGTGTTTTACTTTTTATATCTGTCATCAAATGTCACTTTAGACAAAAACTTTGGCCAATGCATCAGCTCCTGCACTAGCTATATAAGGTTTGGATGCATGAAAAGCAACATCATATATGGCTTCATCAAATTTTTTTCGATGTGATGTAATTTCTTGTACGCACGTCTTGCTGTCCATGTTCCACAGTCGGATAGAACAGTCATGACCTATAGAGTAATTAAAATAGTCACAACTTACGAAAACAATGTAACTTTTTTTTCAGCCTAAGGAGGACACAGATTACATATCTGGTTGAACAATGTGCTCAGAAAAAAATATTTTAAACTGCTTACTTTTGAACCATACAACCCACTCACAGTTAATCCCAGGAATTTTTATTTTGAAGATTGGTGTAACTACAGTATTTCTAGTTATTGGACATATTAGAGTTTTCCACTAAAAAACTTATTTGTTCAATTAAATGGTTCAAATTTTATGAGGAACTAAAAGATTCTTCCTTCACCAAATGATCACAGTAAAAATAGTTTTTTATGATACTGGTATGAAGGCAAAGGTAAATTGAATACATTAAAGTTTTACAAAAAGCAAGTACTACAATTTTAGTTAAAATACTTTAATTTGAATTTTTTAAAAGCTTTTATGTAATTTAGACTAAAAGAATCTCTAAACTGAGTTTTAAGGTTAAATAACAAGGCAAAGGAAAAATTTAGAAAATGTACTAAAATTGTCATTATGTAAAGGAGAAAAAAAGAATAACAGAAGTGAAACATCCAATAATATTTAAAAACTTCTTAAGAGTTTGAAATCCTAGGCAGAAGTGAGTGGCCAAATTGATACTTTTTAACCTTTCAACTGTATTAAAAAAATAGTGAAAGTAACCAAATTAATCTTGATTTAAAAAAAATCTTTTTATTTGCCAATAGAAATGGAGAAAAAAAGTCTTCCTATATTAAGAGTTGTGAGATTTCTAATCTTATTCTTAAGATCTAAGATATAAGCAGTGTTTTTGGAACTACAGTAATGTTCACTAAGTGTGTAGTTTAGAAGAAACGAAAACCTTTTTATATTAATACATGAGAGCCTTAGCTAAATCTACTAAATGCAACAACATTAGGATTGATTTGAAAAATAACTTACTTCCAGATAGTAAGTAGAGTCCATTTGGATCTATTGCTAGGCTTGTAACTGCATCCAGATGAGCTACCATTGAGTGGATCAGCTTTCCTGGAGGGACACGGTTTTATATTATAAAAAATGCAATTAGTTAGTTTGTATACCAAAGAATTTCTGAAACTACAACAAATCCCTATAGTTTCAAACCCTTGGTTGTTTAATGTATGATGCACAAGCCAGTCAGTTACTTAAACACAAATCAATGTTATTCAACTTTAAGACAACCAGAATGATATATTTTTTTTCCTATTTACAATTATACATTAAACCTCAATTGAAGGAATTAACAATGCCAACAAAGGTTAGTAACATTATGACATATACACAGAGGGCTGAATACATTATATTAGGACAATTTTAAATGTGTAAATCAGCAAGTCACATGATAATTAAAGCTGACATAAAGTCATGGTAGAACAGCATGTATTAGAACTACATTTTCACATTGTGTGGTATTTTACAGATATTGTGATGTTACTGAAAATTACTTGCTTTTCAGGAGGGTATGTAAGAGCTCTTTCTGATGTAAAATATTCATACAGTAAGATCATAAGGATGAATTCAGAGCAGGGATTTAGAAATTCCATGTTGGTTACTTAATAGGATTAGAAAAGACAGGAATATGGATTAACCTGAGGAACCAGGACCATCCAGAAAGAGAACTGGCAGAAAGTCATACCCAAGCTGTAGTAAAAAAAGTATGGTGTCTCCAACAGGTGAGAATTTGTGAAACATAACAGTTAGTGGCAAATGCTATGCTCATGAACAATGCAACAGTGTGCAACATAATAAGGAAGGATCTCATTCTGGAAAAGTGACAAAAGTCGAGTGTACATATTGCATACCTCTAGCAACAGGAGAATAAAACAGCTATTCATTCTATTCCATATGAAGACATATCAGATAAGTCACTGGACACAGAATCTATGAATTTTTTTGTGATCAAACTGCTGCAATGGGTGCAGAGAAACTGTTATTCTAATACTAGATGGGTGATGAAGAGTTTGCAGTGAAGAATGGTGTGCTTCAATCAGTACGACCTTACAGTAGAGCCCTTAGCAATGGATACTGTGCTGTAGGGCTACAATCAAGATGCATGGTCATCAAGTACTGCACAAGCAGATGTATTGGCATGGACTGTAATGATGTTGCGAGGCTTCAAAACCATTTGAATACAATGCCCAAAAACCTATATAGAGAGACCCCAACCTAAATTGATGTAAAATAAGAGTGCCTGCTAAAATACTGGAATGATTTCCCCACCATATTTAAAGCTGAAATCCACAAAGTAAAGTGTACAAAATACATAAATTTCACTTTAGTTATCTTGGATGGTTTACTCAGTCAGCAGTATATTCAGCCTTAACTTTCTAGAAAACTCATGCTTCGCAAGAGTTTCAGAACAGGATGTCACTTGTGATTGTTATGGGTAATTTGTTTTGTTATTTTCATATTTAATTTACTTTATGGGTATTATTTTAACCCTCTCTTGTCAAGGGCATTCTTTACTGCACATGTCATGAGGTTTTTAGTGAATTACATTCAAAATATAATTAAACTACTTTTTTGTTTATATTATACCAGTTGGTAGAGCATAAAATTGTAGCTTTAAGTTTTAAGTTCTTAATTCTATAAGGTAATATTTAAAAAAATCTTGAATTTCCCTAAGTGTGAGAAATGTGATATTTTTTCTCTAGGAACCCCTCTACTCTAATTTATTCATCACAATAAGTACAAAATTTAATGTAAATTATTCATTATAATATTGTCATCACTAAGGCAAAGCATAATTTTCATAGCCTTCAATCAAACCTCTCTTCCCACACTCACCTGTCACAGCCTCTCTTTCAGGATTTGTTAATAGTTCTCTCTTACGTTTAATAATATATTATCGATAACAAATAGAAAACCAAGATTGTCATCTATCACATGACTTAATACACTACATTGTTTTCTGTATATAGAATTGTCAATTTCTCTTTCAGTACAAGCTTCGTTCTCATGGGAAACATATCGACTAGCTTGGATGAATTTGCAACGACTTTTGTTGCATAGTTAGAAGGCCAGAAAAATTGTGATACTTATGGGAAGTTTGCATGCTATTATTCTATGTTATTTGTGCATTATTTAATTAAATAAAAATTATTTAGTGCACTACTACCATTAGTATATATACAAAAAAGGTAGGGTTAAGTGTCATCAAGAGCAACAACAAAAAAATAGATAGATAGAAAGAAGGCCCACATAATGTAATTCAACAGTGTAACATGATCTGCATGTTCCCCAAGTGATTTACAACTTATAATGGCACAAATAGTATTTTAAGTATAAATATACACCTGGAAAAAAGTTAAGCACCCC